GCGAAACTTACAGAAGTTAGGCATCCAGAACTCTACCAGGAATCGGACCCGGAATAGCCAAGTCCAATGGCAACACTCTAACATTTAAATCACCGAGCAGGCATCCAGTGATTCGCATTGACAACTTTAATGAATTTCCGCGTCGTTACTCAACCATCATTCATTGTCTTCATTTGGCATTTTCCTGACATATGGTTGATCTCTATTAGTGACACCATCTCAGTTCAAAAAGTCCAGGATCCACCTATTAAAATTAGTCATTCATGGGTACATGATTGCAGTTAAATATGCAAACCAAAAGGTCCTTGTTTGATGGTATAAAATCTAAGCGCTTGTCACCAGATCGGTCGATTCTTTGTGGGGTCTAGGGTATTCAATTCTCAGGAGAACTACATTAGGAAAAAACAACTTCCAGTACTTCTCGGTTTGCATTGGTTGCATTTATTAAGTCTGTCTGTAATCTCAATAAATTATTTTATTTTAGTCAACTTTTCTATTTATAAGATTATAGTATATCATTATATTCAGTGATTTAGAACCTGTGGAATTAAAGAACAAATATTTCATTTGTGATTCTGTTTATAGATATTAAAATTATACTAAATGGTGAAAAATACAACTTCAATAGAAGCACAGTTTTACTTTGTACTTCAAACCTATCACTAATTAATTAAAACAATTAGTCGAATTTTTGCAGCTTGTTATATCGTCACAGATTTAAAAAAGCTAAAAAAACCATAGTAAATAGGAATGTAATAGGCAGCTGTTTCATCCTGCTTTAGAGTTTTTCAACCGTAGGCACCTATGACATTGAATGGGAAAAACGCACTATATTCCATCATTATAGTAAACTGGTCAGCTACAACTTTAATTAACTGATGCTACAGAAAAACGATCATCCGATGATAGATGTTTGTTGAAGCTTACCATTGTTAAAAAGATGAAGAAGCACTTCATGTTAAAAAGTAATAGGAAGCTATACAAAATTCGAAACAAAAGTGTCTTAGTTCTGGACAAACTTTGCATTTGTGTATAACAATATAAATCACATTTTGTGCGTTAGACCTGACGTCATTGTTCAAACACATATAACCGTCTCTCCATTTTAACCAGTGCACTAAGTTCATTCACTTTGTTTTTAAAAGAGGAATATATGAACCACTACGTCATAAGTCACTTCAATCACTTACATTTACCTAATTAACTAGCTAGTACTTTAGAGTTTAAAAATGTTCGAATTACAGGTTCATATATAGTGTTTCGAATATTAACAAGTAGACTTTAGCAATGTTTATAAAAATATTCAACTTTAGAAACTTAATGATTAATTACATTATTATTAGTAGTAAATAAATGAATTAGGTATTACTTTATTGAAAAGTTACACTATAGGCAAAACTGTTTAATATAGATACACATAACAGTAGAATTCCATTGCAAGAAAACTGTATGAATACATAAGTTATAAACGTTTATACACCTGTTACAAGTCAATACTGCTATTAAATAAACAAAAATACTTGACAAGCTTTCAGTTAAATAATGTTTTTATAAACAATTAGAAAACTTAGTACATGTAATTTGGATTTTATAAAAATCATCAAGCTTTCATAACGATTATCCAATTCCTTGATTATTACAAATGTTCGTTCACAGCTCTGAAATAATTATGTTTATACATAAGTCTTGAATGTCATATTCGTATTGTGTTAATGTATAATGAATGTTTACTCAGGTTACGAAGGTCACCCTTATGAAATAACAAAATATCAAACTGCTAGGTTAGGATAATATTAATATTTTCTTAGGACACTATAAGAATAAATAGTGAGACTGATGAGGAATATATATACATGTATAATAACTACATCGTACCAAAGGTAATTCAAAACAAATCATTTGCAAATTGATCTATGTGAGATAAACTATATTACTATTGTTTAGTAACACATATATCTATGACTTTTAAGGAATTAAGAAATGTAGCTAAACCCTTCAGTATCAGTTCATCCATATTTCTTTACATTGAATGTAATTCAACAAACGACTGGAACTTCTGCTAGATGAAACAATCGTCAGTGCACGTATGTAGAATATTATTTCTGTGTTCTAGTTGGCAAACATTCCAACAACTGTAGCTTAATATTAACTAGATACTTTATACGATAAATCTTCATTACATCAAAACCCAACTTTAAATTTGAAGTTATTAAGAAGAAAAAACAATAACTAAGGAAAACAAACGCGAAGAAGGACATTAGAATAATGGTACTGGTTTAAAGCGCATAATAAGCAAAGACTTTTATTCCAAGGATTAAATGATACCTGTTGCTGCTAACATTATATTCAAGCCTGTATACACTCATAAACTTATTGAATTATGTATATATTAAAATTTTATGCATCATGCTTATTATTATTAGCTTTATCCAATATTATATTGTTGATGCAATATAGAATTCTCAGCATAAAGTATTTCAACAAGTTTCCGCTTCTTACTTCTTCGTCGATCCTGAAGATAAATATTGAATGGTCGCCAGTTGTAAGTTAGCAGTTAAATCAATCTAAATCTGAATAATGTAAACTATTTTCTATACATATTATCAGCAACCACGATATCTGTGATTAGGTCTTTTGTAACTTGTACAGCGAAAGATTGTACACTTTTCATAAATGCACCTGAATAGGTTATGCGATTAATAGCCATAATGATGTATTAAAACAAACAAAATTAGATAACTTGTTGAAATATCTAGATGGCAGGAATAGGTAGTCCAGATGTTCAAACAGGCCGCCATTGACATGATATAAAATTAAAAAAATCTACAGTATTTTCTAATCATCTTCAATCAAATTCCTTTTATATTAAAATCATGAAATATTAAACAAATAATTCTTTTTATTTTTTTTCTCTTTTACTACTTCTAGTTTCATAATTTATTCTCGGTGTGTTTTTTTATAATTTAAGAAAAAGGGATTCATTCCTCCTCATTAATAAATCATTTTTAGATCATGAACAAACCATATAACAAAATGTGTAAATGATTTTTTTCAAAAAATATCAGAATTATATTGGATCATTTTTCGATTAAGTTTTTCGGTAAAGAAAAGAAAAAAAGAAAAAGATAGGAAAAGAAAAAAGAAAAAACGAGAGAAAGAAAGAAAAAGAAAAAAAGAAATATATATTACTTCATTTCATAATCAATAAATATCCGACTAATGGAAATAATATTACAGATACAATGAAACGAACTATTTTTAAGTTGATGTTACATATCCAACTTAGTTAAAGGAAATTCTTCTGTTAAAATAAAATAAGGAATATTCATAATCAGAATAAAATGAATTTATTAAAGTGAAATGATTGAGGGGAATAAAAAGAAAAAACTAAATCCTCATGAATGAAAGAGCATGTTTTTAGTTCTAAACGAGTTTGGAAGAAAGAGGATTATTATAATCAAATTAATTATTCAAAAATCAAGCTATTGCTACCTTGCATAATATATAAAAAGAGGAGAAAGAACTAACAAAATATTTTGATGAATAGTCAGTAATATTGTAGTTATATAAGAATCAAGAGACGAGTACTACAGAATAAGTAAAATATAATATATATAAAATGCTACAAACTCCACTATACTGATGTCCAAGGTAGCGAGAGTGGTTGTAAAACTTCTTTTGGATACAGGATACCACTGAAGTAACTACTTCTATGAATTTGGCGTTTATCTTGTTGTGTTAATGAGGTGTGGCAACTTCGATATAAGAAAGACTACATATAAGGATATAATACAGGAAGACAGAGTTAGTTCGTAGAAATAAAGGTATAGAGTACCTTCTATCTCATGGTTTAAAGGAAGACAAAGAGCTCATACACCTACGCCATTATGATCGACTCTGAGCCATATCACCCACAGTTTCCAACTACTGATTACAATAATCATGCAGACTCCAACCAAGTAGTCTGGATCCACCAACATGGCTCAGATCAGAAGTTAGCGACTTCAAGAACTGATGCCACGTTTTTGGTTTGGTTGACCCTAACTTTCATCCATCCACCTACAATACTAGCCAGCATTTACTAAAGTCTTTTACGATTTTTAATTCTCTTCTTAGGTAATCCATCAGTTATGATTAAGAAACACTGTATTTACATCCACATTTTAACTACATTTAAAATAGTTTTAGAGAAATTCATTTAAAATTATATGGAGATACAAATCGCAAGAATTATTATTAGCATGGTAAATAAACGAAAAAAAGGAATAACAACTCTATTCGTAGTCGATTGATTGAGCATTGACCAATGTTATGTCCATCTACTCCGTTATTCCTAATGTAATTCTGTCGGCCGAATTGTGACGTCATCACTGATGTAAACGACTCAAAATCGTGTACACTATATTGAGATATTAGGTAGTAAGAGGTAGCGAGTAGGGTTTCCTGATGATTAATCGCAACCATTTAGTTTAATAAATCTATTTAATTACCACTGAGCAAATGGAATATTTTAATTCATTTGTGGTTTTTTAAATCTTCCCATTGATATTTAGGAATACGATTGGTCAGTTTCTCATGGGCATACTCACATCTTGTGCGAATTGCTGTTAATTCACTAACACCTTTTAGACAGAGATGGATGGTGGCTAGCGCTGGAATCCAGGAAACTCTTCTCGTCCTGTTTTACTTTCGTCAGCTGAATTTACTTGCAATCCAGAGTCTATGTCCACCTCGGGAGTCGAAGGGATTAAACTACACTCCATTACACAAACAAGTGGTTATCTGAACTCAGCAGATAAGTTAATAATGCCATAGCGTTTGAAGCAAACGGTAGTGAATTCGTGTCTCGGAGTGAACATCGCTTATGGAATCCAAGTACGTTCAGGTGACAAATCACTAATAAGACGAAACGCCTGTCCTGGATTCCCCTGCTAAACACTATCTATCACTGCCTAAATAACTGGTGATTGTGTTTACTTAGTTTTAAAGAAATTTATTACCTTTTGCAAGATGGCCGAAAAAGGTGAACAAAAAGCCATCATAATATTGTCAACTTGTATGTATCACACTGTAAGTTTAGAACTTTTGACAACGCCTTATATTTGTCTTATCTTAAACACCTCCAGATCAGCAAACATATTTTCTATTTACGTGTTATTACTTCAAATGCATCAATAGAGTGTAGCTTCTTTTATACTGTCAATTAACATTCGAACAAATGCCTCCAACTTAAATTCATTTGTTTTTGATCAGATTTCATGAACCAATAAAAAATTTGACCAATTATTTCATTTAAGGAATCATTATCACTAAACATGATGTAGAATGAAGAAGTTCTCATCAAAATAAATTGTAAATAATAAAAATAATTTATAAAATCGATAAAACAAATCAATTAAATAAATGATAAAGTAAAATATTTCCCAAATTAAGAAAACGTACAATATTAAATCAATAAGCTTTATACCCATTATATTTATTCACAATAATAATCAGTAATTAAAAATGGTTGATTGATAAATTTCAAAGTGATTAATTTATTTAATTTATTCTCTTTAGTTATTTTTAGGTTACTAAATGAATTTTATTAATTGATAATATCGAAAATGTTTGATTCATTTAGTATTGCTTGTTTGAATCTTCCCATCGATGTGTTAGGACTGCAACTGGTCAGTCTCTAATTGGCATATGTGCATACTGTGCGTATTGCCTCGATATAGCCTCAATTCACAAGCATGTTAAGCAGAGTGAACATCAACTTTGAGATGCAGGTACATCGGGCTGACGAGTCCCAAATAAAACGAAACGCGCGTCCTGGATTCCACTGCTAGCCACTATCCATCTCTGCTTAAAATGTTTGATATTATAATAACTGGCGGCCTACTTAAACATTTGGGCAACCCGTTCCTGTTATCTAGATATTTCAACAAGTTATCTAATTTTGTTTGTTTTAATACATCATTATGGCTATTAATCACATAACCTAATTAGTTACGTCTCTTAAAAGCGCACAACCTTTCGTTGTACAAGTTACAAAAGACCTAATCAGAGATATCGTGGTTGCTGGCAGGCAATATGCAGCGAAGGGAGTGTACATTATTTAGATATCGACTGACTAAACTGCTAACTTCCTACTGGTGACCACTCAATATTTGTCGTTAGGATTGAGGAAGAAGTAAGAAACGGAAACTTGTCGAAATACTTTATGCTTAGTATTCTATATTGTACCAAAAATATAACACTGAGTAAAGCTAATAATAATAAAATAAAACATATGTACAATAATACTTATTCAGTATTAAAATTAAGGTTTCTTTCTGTTTATTAAATTGATTAATCAAAAATGAAGCTTCACTTTTGAAAACTTCAGTTTAAAACATATTTTACCATGAGTTAATCTCAAATCTAGTTAGTATCAATGTTAAATAGTATGATTAATGTACACATTCTCTTCTTCACTATATTTAAATGAATTTATATAGGTGACAGTTTGATTTAACACTCGCTCAATCTTACTATTCGTTATTTAATTTAATTTCACTCCATACTTTACACTAACTATGATCAAACATTTAATCTCTCTCATCTCCAACTATTTATAATTGCTTCAATTACTAATATTACACTTCCAAATGATCTACAATCTGGAACAAGTACAGATTATGCAATAGTAATTTTATTACATTTACAAAAGCTAACAATCTTGTTTTGAAAATAATTCTATCTTTCAACAAATACATCTGCCGTAAACTTAACTATCTTCTTGAATCAAGTATTTGAACTGGTAATTGTAAAATATGTAAAGAATATTCTACGCTTAAATATATCTTCCTAATAACCGAAATTTATTGATAATCAGATAGAATATGATAATTAATGTATTTTTGACTGCATTCTGATCAGTAGAAAAATTTTATTTCTGACATTTCATGATTTAATTTAAGCCACTTTTTTTAGAGTAAATAAATAACCGAATTATTTACCCGAGTTATTTACTTATTCTGAAGAACCAGCTTACATTAAGTCACAAAATGTCAAAAATAAACTTTTCCTACTGATCAGAATGTAATAAAATATATGTTTATTATTAATTTTCTACTATATACTTAATTAATTTGAAACTATTAAGTTCAACCTTGGCATTGATACTTACAAATGATTAATGAATGTAATTGATACTATATTGACTTTATGATTAATCATTCTATTATCTTTCACTTAAGTATATCAACAATATTATCAATTTAATAAGTAAGAAAATATTTTAATATTCCATATCTTTAACCGGTTAAACCATTTCAATTATTAATGGGTAATTATACATTGATAAAATTTGTATTAATGTATACATTTCATATTAAATAAATTCAACTTACAGGTTGTTGACTCATTGTTTATATGATAATTTAATAAATTAAAAATAATACTTTTCCCAATGAATAACTAATACTGTTATTAATTGATTTGAACTCAATGTTTTGATAAAAGTATTATATACTACTTATTATTATAATCAGTGATAGTAGCTATAATATCAATCAAATAAATTTCCAAATTATGCTCATATATCAAATCATTAAATTTAAAAGAAATAATCTTTTCTACAATTATTATTTTATTTATATACACATATATTATTGATAATAATGATTAACATGATGAAAAGATTATATTCTTTCTTAATATAAATAAACTGTAATTAATAGTATTGACTTTTTTCCCCTACTTCAAAATTTCATTGGTTCATTATTGATTTTATATATAGAACCAACAAGAATGAACTGATTGGTTAATATCATTTCCCTATTTTTTTTGCCTGGTTATTTTTCCATTTCTATGTTCATGTTTATGTTGATTTGTTATTTTGTTTTGTTTTGTTTTTTTATATTATAATAAAAATAGAAACATGATAAATAGTTAGATCTCTTTCATTTAATCGTTTTTGTTTCTAGGCAAAATGTTTTACACAAAAAAAAACAAATAAAAGAACAAAATATAAATTTGCCAAGAACTTGGCATTCAAGTTATTAGTTTATTTTTTAAAGAAAAAAGTAATAAAAAAGCTATTGGGAATAGTTAAAAATAATTTGTTCCATATGAATTGGATAGTTGAATGAATTTTTAATATAAACGATAGATTTAACATTATTTCAAAAGGTGTTTTATCAAATATGGAAATTGAACGAATTACAATTGTTTCGTCCGAGTTTAAGATTTCTTAGTGATAAACACTTCAAATTGCATAGCTTTTCAGTGCTTCCTAATTTATAATGGTAAATATAATAATAGTGTAAGCAAACACATTTCAGTTGAAATCTATTTTATTTCAAGTAGTTAATATATTCTTATGAATGTTAATTAGTTTGCTTACTTGATTTCAAGAGGTTTAATGGGAAATACTACAGTTATGAATAAATTCCAAAGCGTAAAGCTCACTTTCCATTAAATACAAATACTCTTGAGAAAAATGTGAAGCTCTTATATTGCATATTATCATTAAAGGATTTATTTTACACTGGAAAATTGTATATCCGCCCCAAATATTATTGGTTCATTTAATCTGCAAACAGAAAACTTTAGAAGCTTTTCATTAAATTTAAAAATGTTCATGAAAAGTCGAAGAAATCAGATAGTTTATTCAATATTCATTTCCTATATTTTCATTAGTTCCTATTGTCTTTTTACACTAAGCTTTATTTTTGTTCAGTATTTTAGGTTTGTGTTTCGTAGGTTATCTTCAATTTTATAAAAACAAAACTGATTATTTTCAATTTTGACTGTTCTGTTATTACTTTATTGAAGAAGCTTTATGGAATTATATTTTACATGCTAAATAGAATCATTTTATCAAACATGGCAAACTAGATTCGCGTTTTAACGTGGATATATTCATTGGTAGTTCACTGTGAATGAAAAGACTTCATAATTACTAATATTATTCTACATCTTGAACACATCTATTATTTCTGCAATAACACATTATACTACTAAACTAGTTGAGCTGCTACCGACGTTTGATAAGAATGAAATGTTCTAAACTAATTAGCCACCATCTTTTAATCAATGGAATGTTCTTCAGTTTTCAAGAATAAATAAAGTCTGTAAAGATGCATTTGATTAATTTTTATGACTTTTTGATTATATAAATTGAAACATTGCGAATACCAGCGACATCCTCCTAAATCAAAATAATACTCATACTGTAAGTGTCCGTAACATTCAATGAGTTGATTCATTTTTCTATTAAAAGATAATAATAATAATGAGGTTTATATTAGATTGTTTCTTTTATTGTCATAATTCGGTATTATCGTTACTTTCAAATTATAATTCTACAAAATCTCTGGTTCTTGATGTAAAATTTTTAATTTTTTTTTCATAACGACATTTCTTGCTACTAAATACTTCTTCAGATTCACTTATACGTGAATGAGATTTTCAAGATATTTCTAAATAGTAATAATTTTCAATAAGGTCTAGATACATTCTCTAACGTCGGAAGTTCGTCATTATTGACAGTAATAAATCGTATTTAGTTCAAAGTTAATTTACATTTCGAACTTCAACTTGAGTTCATATGAATATATGTTGAAATTTAAAATTCCCATCCATTTTATGTACATTGACTGCATAACACAGATTGATATGATCTTGTCCGATTCATACTGATGACGCTTTATATCAATATGCTTATGATCATGAAGGTAAAAAACTCAACTCGTCGTTTTTGAAATCTATTTTACACGATTACTCTGAACAACAAAATTATTTATCCTTTTTGAGATAATATGACTTTTACATTATTTGAAACTTTTATGCTTTTAATGTTTATAATTTTCTTGACTTTTTTAGAAAATTCTTAGTTTATTTTGAACATTTCATAATTACTATGAGGTGGTACACAGCTCAATTTCAGTATTCTACTATATAAAACATTTTTTCTATAAAAACTGTACCAGTGAAAATATAATTAAAAATTAAAATACTTTGGAATTCTCATAAAATTTGTGTTACTAGTTCGAAAAAAAGTTGAATTTTTGTTTAGTATTTTTTATTATCATTATCTAAACACATAAACATTGATATAAGGAGGCACCACATACATATGCGCCACATAAATCATTCGATTTGCGTGAGGTCTGTGATACTGCCCAGATGCCCAAACCGAAGCAGGTAGTTTTCTTTGTGCCCACACCCGGAGCCTTCGACCTAAAGGTCTAACCCACAAGGCAGTGAATCAACGTCAGATGCATTCCCATGGTAGCCGGTAACCAACAATAGGTTCATACGTCCTTTATTTCTTTAGGATTCTTTAGCCCATATGCATCATTGATTTGGAATCAGGATTTTCCAACTCCTTTAATTGGATCCTTCATATCCACCAACTCGGTCAAAGTGCTGGACATTCGCTATTCATCCTCTCAATTTCGTAGACAACACCCTCTGTGTGAGAAGGCAATGAGTAGAACTTCCCTGACAATGTTTGTGTACGCGTGGCTATGTGAGAGTATTTGGAGAGGAAGAGATGACTCTACCCACTCTCGGACGTCCCAAGGCATTTTGAGGCTTATGATTTAATTTTTATGTTCATTGTTGTAATATCCCGCAGTACATTTTAAGATTTATGAAATATACATTTTTTCTCAATTTGGAAATAGAAATTCTCTTCTCTTCTGTTTCGTATTTAATGTTTTAAATATAAATAAAAAACATTTTTATAGTTAAAATCATGAGCCAATTAAAGCTAGACCACCATAGAAAACCTGGAAGCACTGGACGATCGTTTCATCCTATTGTGGAACTCCTCAGCAGTGCGCATCTCCACAAAACGCCCCTTTTGATAAATAAAAGTTAATTTTTATCTTATTTAATCCATTACACTTATTCTTATTTCAAACTGAAACTCTACAATTTAATATTATTTTCAATACAGTATCTTCGAATATAAGTGGTCTTTTTCAAATGTTAATATTTTTAAAATTCTATAATCATAAATCCATCTAAACAACTAGATCATCATCAAAGTTTCTTGACGGAAATGCTAAAAATTCAAAATATTATACATTTTAAAATCATTTATTAATTTATTAAATAAATATGAATCATAGAAGGAATTTTGTGGAGATTTAGTATTTATTATAATTGAAAGCGTGAGTCAATTGAAGCTAGACCACCATGGAAAGCCTGGAAACACTGGACGGCCGTTTCGTCCTATTATGGGACTCCTCAGCAGTGCGCATCCACGATATGAATCATAAATATTAGATTTTTGAATAAATTTAAATCTCTAAATTTATTAGTTTTCAGTAGTTTTAATCAGCAAGGAACCAGTTGATTTAAGTAAAGTCCCTTAACTTTTATTGGTCTTTAGAACTTATAATTTGTATACTATTATATTAACATTTGGACGTCATAACTTTATTGCTATTTTTGAGCTAATATAATTTTTGATCCGCCAAAACTCTTACTATACTTACTTACACCTGTTACTCCCAATTGAGCATAGGTCGCCGACCAGCATTCTCCAACTCACTCTGTTCTGGGCCTTCCTTTATAGTTCTATCCCATTTTTGTTCATTCTTCTCATGCCTGCCTCCATTTCTCGGCGTAATGTGTTCTTTGATCTTCCTCTTCTCCTATGGCCTTGAGGATTCCAAGTGAGTGCTTGCGTTGTAACGCAGTTGAGCTCATTCCTCAATGTGTGTCCTATCCACTTCCAGCGCTTCTCCCTCATTTCTTCTTCCGCTGGAATCTGGTTTGTTCTGTCCCACAGTAGGTTGTTGCTGGTAGTGTCTGGTCAACGGATCCGAAGTATGTTGCGTAGACAACTGTTAATAAACACCTGTATCTTCTGGATAATGACTTTCGTAGTTCTACAGGTTTCCACCCCATACAGTAGAACTGTCTTGACATTTGTGTAAAAAATTCTGATCTTGGTGTTGGTTGACAATTGTTTTGATTTCCATATGTTCTTCAATTGTAAATATGCTGCTCTTGCTTTGCTGATCCACGCCTTCACATCTGCATCAGATCCACTGTGTTCATAAATGTTGCTGCCCGGACATGTAAAGGTTTCCACATCCTCAAAAGTTTCTCCGTCAAGTGTGATTCGATTAGAGCATGATGTATTGTATCCGAGAATCTTGCTTTTCTCTTTGTGTATATTAAGATCTACTGCTGCTGAGGCTGCTGCTACACTGGTCGTCTTTTCCTGCATCTGTTGTCGCGTGTGTGATAGAAGAGCCAGATCATGTGCGAAGTCTAGATCGTCCAGCTGCATCCTAGCTGCCAATGTATCCCGTGTTTCACTCCAGATTCTGAGGTCTTCATGATCCGGTCGGTTGCCAGCAGAAAGAGAAAGGGTGAGCGTAAGCAATCTTGCCTAACACCGGTCTTTACCTCGAATAAGTTAGTGAGTTGTCCTCCATGAACGATTTCGCAGTTTAGTCCATCATAGGAGTTCCGTATGATATTGACTATCTTCTCAGGCACGCCATAGTGTCGAAGAAGCCTCCATAATGTTGTCCTGTCCATGCTATCAAATGCTTTCTCGTAGTCAATGAAGTTGATGTAGAGTAGTATAAACTGTAAATTTTATTTATACACTGAATACAATGTACCTACAGCAGTTTTTTTTATAATAGATATCCTATTACCTTGTACTATTTTAAGTTTATTTTGTACAGTATAGATGTATCATTATCGATTTAATACCTAGA